CAGCAGGATGAATTCTGAAGTGTTTCGGACAATATTATCTGCTCATATTTAGCCAAATGCTTCACAACTCATTGGACGCCGCTTCACAGTGCAGATGGACAATGACCCAAAGCATACTGCAAAACAAACCAAAGAGTTTTTTAAGGGAAAGAAGTGGGATGTTATGCAATGACCAAGTCAATCACCTGACCTGAATCTGATTGAGCATGCATTTCACTTGCTGAAGACAAAACTGAAGGGAAAATGCCCCAAGAACAAGCAGGAACTGAAGACAGTTGCAGTAGAGGCCTGGCAGAGCATCACCAGGGATGAAACCCAGCGTCTGGTGATGTCTATGCGTTCCAGACTTCAGGCTGTAATTGACTGCAAAGGATTTTCAACCAAGTATTAAAAAGTGAAAGTTTTTAATTTATGATTATTTGTCTGTCCCATTACTTTTGGTCCCTTAACAAGTGGGAAGTACATACAGTATGCAAACTGTTGTAATTCCTACACCGTTCACATGATTTGGATGTAAATACCCTCAAATTAAAGCTGACAGTCTGCAGTTAAAGCACATCTTGTTCGTTTCATTTCAAATCCATTGTGGTGGTGTATAGAGCCAAAAATGTTAGAATTGTGTCATGTCCCAATATTTATGGACCTGACTGTATATACTATTATAAGACTATTGTAATAAAATGATCATTTTTCCTTTTAGACAAAAACAAACTTTTTTAGTCTAACACTGAGGTATAATTTAACAGTATTTTTATTGCATAATGTTTCAGTATATTAATAGATTGCAGTGTGGTATGTAATTTTCAAACCAGTGACCTGGCTGATTTTTTTTTTAAATGGCCAGTACTTTCTCTGTGAAATATGTTAAATAGTTTTATATTGAAAAGCTGAATGGATAACTTAAAAACAAAGAGATCACAACTGGCGATTATTTTCACATTTTATAAAGTATAGACCAGGGCTGAATACAATAATATGTTTTGATTGACGGAAAGACAATTGGAGTGCTATCAACTCTACAAAATAATAAGTATAAAGGAACAGTCGAGAAAATGAATATCAGCTGCTGGAAGCATAATGGCAGGAATTTCAAAATGGAAAAAAAATTGCAGATGAGCAGCTAAAGTTACAGGTGATGAAAAAATAATTGAAACAAGGAACAGGGCAGTTAGGAAATGATAAGGCAAAAATCTGAGCTTGCTAGACAGAAATTAAAGAATGAGAAAATTGTAAGGAGGTAGAAAAGATAAAATGTCACTAATAAAGGGGCAAAGAAAAAAGGTTATTGGAAGTGAGAAGACACAGGGAGCTAAAATTGTTTGGCCGAGCACTGTAGTATCTTTAGATGTCAAGCAATATGATTGAGCTGTCTGAATTTTCTACACAGGTATGAGCAGAAAGATTATCATGTGAAAAAAACCCATCAAATGAATACTGTGAAGCAGCTTATTATTCTAATTTTTATGAAGTGACAGTGACTGCAGATATTTTGTACTTATTACAGCCGAAGTTGTGACCAGCCCTAGAAACAGAATAATAGTTTAAAGAACTAAGAACAATTCATTGATGCATTGTTGTAGTCCTCTAACACAGATCAGCTTGATGTAATCTAGCCAATTTCTGTTAGGGCCCATTCACACCACATCCACTGGGCTGCATTGCTTAACATAAAGGCAGTACCATGACAAACTAAAATCCATTGCTTCCAATAGACTCAGTTCACACCAATTAGTTGCTTTGGTGTGCGCTTTGTGAAAACAAAACAAGCTGCATTTTCTGTAAATGCAGTGTGACATGCTGCAACATGACACTGTATCAAAGCATGTTGTAAGAAGAGAAAAATGTATTGTAGCAATGTGTAAAAAAAATGCAATGCATTAAAAAAAAATCAACACTCGTAAACTTAAAGCGGTTGTAAAGGCTCAAGGTTTTTTACCTTCATGCATTCTATGCATGATGGTAAAAAAACCTTCTGTGTGCAGCAGTGCCCCCCGCCCCCTCAATGCTTAACTGAGCACCATCAAGATCCAGCGATGTGCACAACAGCCTCAGCTGCCCCTGGTCTCTGCCTTCTCATTGGCTGGGAGAGCAAGCGGGAGCCATTGGCTCCCACTGATGTCAATCACAGCTAGTCAGCCAATGAGGAGAGAGAGGCGGCAGGTGCCCCCATAGCAAGTTACTTGTTGTGGGGGCACCAGACAGAACAGAGGTGTCAGGCTGCTGTGTGCAAAACCACTGCACACAGCAGGTAAATATAGACATGTTTGTTATTTTGCAAAAAAAACCTTTAGTATCGCTTTAAGTGAGTTTAATGTGCACCAGCATGAGCTAAATGTAATGGATGCAGTGTGAATAAAGCCTAAGTCTTTTAAGGAATCTTGTTCCCTTGAACCATTTGGAATGATATATGTATATTGGTACAGTGGTGTATTTAGGTTTTTGTGCTTCCCTAGGCAACACAAAAATCGCCCCCCCCATACCAACAAACACCCCCCCCCCCTCCCCCACGATAAGAGCCTGACCAACAACACCCCACCCCAGAGATCCTTCCACTATTCAAGATGGTAGTAGCACGATCACGTGATCCGGACACGTGCATCAGCATGAGTAGTGATGTCACAGGAAGGCCACATACTGACGCGTTTCGTCCTCGGAAGAAGTCATTGGACAAAACGCGTCAGGGTGTGGCCTTCCTGTGACATCACTACTCATGCTGATGCACGTGTCCGGATCACGTGATTGCGCTATTACCATCTTGAATGCGGGCTGGCTGGTGAGACACAGGATGCAGAGACTGGAGCTCTGATATAACAAAACGCCTTGTTTTTATTTGCTCATTGTGAGTGTGATTTTAAGGGGGGTTTGTTTGGCAATAAATTTGTTGGATGATACTGCACTATGGCGAGTATTTTCTTTACCCACATGTGCTAATCTGGATATGAGAGGATCTTCTCTGGAGTTTGTTTGGCGATATGCTGGATACATAGTAGTATGCTGAGTAATTACCAACACATGAGGATCGTCCTTTGAAGCCTGTTTGGTGAATGCTGGATATATACTAACATGCTGGTTAATTACTAGCACATGGTGAGTGTGCATTTTGATGGGATGTTTTTGAGCACTGAATACCATATTGCTTATGAAGGAGGATCTCATTACTTCATTTACTGAGGATCATGTTTATATGGACTTTTCTGAATGGACTATATTGAGATTCCCTATTTATTGATTTTTTTGTTTGCACTATTAATATGCACTTATTTGGTGGTGGTTATAATTAGTTGTGGAAATTGAACATTAATTGCTGAGCCATATAAGAAGCTGGTTTTATTCTTATTGTTTATAAGCTATGTGATCTAATAAAAGAAAAGTTGTGTATTGAAACCTTGCAGCGCCACAAAGTCCATTTACCCAAAAAAATATAATTTTTCTAGGTGTTATTTCCTTTGGAGGAGGTGCTTTTTTAAATATACACATCACCTTCTTTATCATTCTAATACATTCAAATATATATCTGCAAAAAAAGACTACAAATACTCTTTATGCTGATGGTCAAGTACTATAAACTTCCAAACAATAATGCTGAAATGTGTCAAGGACCTGTGGTGATCTTGAAATTTAGCCACTGTCCCTGTGGAATCCCTTGTATTCCAGGCACATGGAACCAAACACCAAGGCTTCTGTTAAAGTCAGCTCCACTCCCAGTACTGATCCTCATCCAGCAATAGTAAAATGTCTTTATTTCAAAGAAGTCTTGGCTGGCTTACCAGTAATCAAGTCATTACTTATTGTAAGCTTCTTTTTCACTAAGACTCACTGTCAACTGACAGATTTTGAAAATGTCTTTATTTCGAAATAGCAAACAGGACAAATGATTCTATTTACTTCATGCTTCCCTTAGCACTTTTTCATGAGTATATCCAAAATCAGAAGCTCAGTGGCCAGTATAGACTATGGTTTTGGATTGTTGAAGTTTCAAAAACATGGCTTAGAAGTAAGATCAAATGTCCAGCCTAGGACTATATTACAAGGTCTCCATAGAAACACAGGGATGAATTTGAGGATTATTTCAGATTATACCTATGTAACTTCAGTTTGGTAGAGGGTAGAGGGTAATGGCAAAAGTACAATGTAAACCTGGAGGAGCATATTTTGAAAATGATCCTGTGCAGACTTTCGCTTAATATACAGATTCCCTTCTGCTGTAGAAACATATCACAGAGGGATGCCTACCTGATCTTCTGGGCTGGAAGGGTTATATAAAATTTAAATTAAGTAAATTAAGATTTATACATTCTGGGGAATAGAAACAGAATATTATCTGATCATTATTATTCCATATTTCCAAAACCCAATATTCTATATGATAAATGCAACATAAATATCCTTGCCTCTTACAATCCTTTTTATTATTTTCCTGTAAGCACTAATTTACCCATGTAATTCCCTTTGCTACCTCGGGGACTTATAAATTTTACTGTGTTCAGTTTTTCAAACAGTGTCTCTCTGACCTTCCTGTTATCTTGTACACTTAAATTGTGTCTCTTTCTCTCTTCAGAGTTTATAGCCTCCTCCTAGTGGCTCTCTAAATCTGGTTCCCTCTAGAATGCTTCCATTGAAACTCACATCAGCAGTATTTAAATCTTAATTGAAAATGTATTTCCTAGTACGCTAACAATCAGATGCATTGACCTACTGTTTTTCCAGCTCCTAATCTCTTTGAAGGGCATGTTGAGTAAATGGCTTGTTGGTAATAAGGGGAGTTTAAAATGCAAGACCCAGATTAACATAAATATATATATATCTGTGTAAAAGGAAAACAATAATATAATGTCACCCCTTTTAGTTTTCCACTAAAGTGAACATGGATGAGCCTGAATAAAGATATTTACCGTATTTTTCTCTCCATAAGACGCACCTGACCATAAGACGCACCTAGGTTTTAGAGGCAGAAAACAAGAAAACAAATATTCTGAACCAATGGACTGCAGACATAGTACAGGAGATGACCAGAGACTGCAGACATAGTACAAGAGATGACTAGAGACTACAGACACAGTACAGGAGATGACCAGAGACTGCGGACACAGTACAGGAGATGACCAGACTGCAGACATAGCACAGGAGATGACCAGAGACTGCGGACACAGTACAGGAGATGACCAGAGACTGCGGACACAGTACAGGGGATGACCAGAGACTGCGGACACAGTACAGGAGATGACCAGAGACTGCAGACATAGCACAGGAGATGACCAGAGACTGCGGACACAGTACAGGAGATGACCAGAGACTGCGGACACAGTACAGGACACAGTACAGGAGATGACCAGAGACTGCGGACAGTACAGGAGATGAACAGAGACTGCAGACAGTATAAGGGATGACCAATAGACTGCGGACAGTACAGGGGATGACCAAGAGACTGCGGACAGTACAGGGGATGACCAGATACTGCGGACAGTACAGGAGATGAGCAGAGATTGCAGAACAGTACAGGAGATGACTAAGAGACTGCTGACCTTTAGGGAGGGAGGGGGAGCGGGTACCTGAATTTGACCTGTCATGTGTCCCAGAAGACGCCGTACCATTCGCCGTACCATTCACAAAGCGCAGCGCTTCTCGCGCATGCGCACTGGGCACCCGGCTGTCAAGCCGAGAGCCCACACTAAAGAAGCCGGCGTGGGAAGACTGTACCGAGGAACAGGTAAGGCGCTGGACCGAGGAACAGGTAAGGTCCTGCTGCAGAGCTGAACGGCCGGCCCGGTATTCTGACACGGCGGCGGTGGAAATACCGGACCGGCCAATCCATATTTGCATATTTTGGGGGAAAAAAGTGCGTCTTATGGAGCGAAAAATACGGTAATTAAAGTGTATCTTTGCTCAAAATGTAAAAGATACTATTAATTTCCACATTGTATTTCAGTTATCTCTAGCCTACTCCTATTAATCTGTTTGATCTTTAAATCTTATAACTCTTTTTTTTAAGAACTGCACACATTTCAGCCTGCTGCGGTGCTGATCGGAGGAGTTTAAGGGGACGAAGTCAGTATAGAAAGCACTTTGCTGGCACTAAGATATCATTGTTTTTTATTATTATTATTATTATTACAGGATTTATATAGCTCCAACAGTTTGCTCAGCGCTTTACAATATAACGGGAGACAATACAGCAACAATACAGTTCATACAAGAGGGTTAGGATCTTGGAGCTTACAATCTAAAGGGGAGGGGCTAGTGATACAAAAGGTAATAATGGGGAATGGACTGGTAGGAGGAGTAGAAGATTCCATTATTAGCTGAGGGGAGGATAGACTTCCCTGAAGAGATTCAGAGTTTTCAGAGATTGCCTAAAAGTGAGCAGAGTAGGCAATAGTCTGATAAATTGGGGTAGAGTTCCATAGGATAGGGGAAGCTCTGGAGAACTCCTGGAGATGAGCATGGGAGGAGGAGACAAGGGAGCTAGAGAGCAGGAGGTGGTGTGAGGAGCGGAGAGTACAGTTTGGGCGACATTTGGAGAAAAGATTGGTGATGTAATTTGGGGCAGAGTTATAAATGGCTTTATATGTTATTGTTAATGTTTTGAATTTTATTCGTTGGGCAATGGGAAGCCAGTGGAGGGATTAGCAGAGAGGGGTGGCAGATACATAGTCCTTATAAACCAAAGGTAAACTAAAGGAATGAGCAGATAGCAAAATCATTTACTATTTCCAGGCAGAAGGTGCAGCTGTGGACACATTTCCTAGACTAATTTGAACTGCTTTGTATTAAAAAAAAGTTTCATAAGCTTGTTGAGCTATATACACAGCTGAATGACTCAGAGGAGCAGTTCATCCATTCCTTCCTCACATCATCCACCCTGTTTAGATGAGGCTATATGGAGATTTATTTAGAGTGGAAGACAGGAAAAGCGACTACTGTATTTTGTTTTAAAATACTCAAAATGCACTGCTAAACTAGTGTATTCAAGGGCGGACTGACCATTTGGAAACTTGGGCACTGCCCGAGGGCCCGGGGGTCAGTAGGGGGCCCCATGAGATGCCCCTGGTACCTTTTTCATAGGCTTTTTGAGTTTGGGCAAGGACACAGGGGCCCCATCATCCCCTATTGCCCAGGGGCCCCATGAGTTGTCAGTCCGCCCCTGAGAGTAATATATATACATTACTTTGTAAAAGTTTTAGGCAGATGTGAAAAATGCTATAAAGTAAGAATAGTTTCAGAAATAGTGTTAATAGTTTATTTTTATCAATTATCAAAATTGAAAGAAAATGAAAAGAAGGGAAATCCAAATCAAATCAATATTTTGTGTGACAGCATTAATTCTTCTAGGTACACTTGCACACAGGAACTCGACAGGTAGGTTGTTTCAGACATTTTGGAGAGCTAACCACAGATTTTCCGTGGATGTAGGCTTCCTCAAATTCTTTTATCTCTATATGTAATCCCAGACAGACTCAATGATGTTGAGATCAGGGCTCTGTGGGGGACTGAACCATCACTTCCAGGACTCCTTGTTCTTTACACTGAAGATAGTTCTTAATGACATTGGCTGCATGTTTGGGGTTGTTTTCCTGCTGTAGAATAAATTTGGTGCCAATCACACTCCTTCTTGATGCTATGGCATGATGGATAAGTATCTGCCTATATTTCTCTTAGGGACACAATTGATCCTGACCAAATTTCCAAATCTGCAGAAATGCAACCCCAAACTTGCAAGGAACCTACACCATGCTTCACTGTTGCTGCAGACACTCATTATTCTACTGCTAGCCAGCTCTTCAGTTATCAAACTGCCTCTTGCTACAGTCAAATATTTCAAATTTTACTGCCATTTTTCTACATCCCAGCTCCATGTTTTCATGCATAGTTTTGCTTTTTGGCCACAACTCTTCCATGAAAACCACTTCTGGCCAGACTATTCCAGACAATAGATGTGTGTACCTGGATCCCACTGGTTTCCACCAGTTCTGTGCTGATGGTACTGCTGCACATCTTGCAATGTCTGTTGCATTATATTTCCTTGGCCAACCAGTGTCTCTACAGTCTTCAATGTTGCCTGTTTCTTTAAGCTTTTTCAAAAGAGCATAAACAGCACATTTTGAAATTCTAGTCTACTTTGAAAACTTTGCCTAGGAGAGATCTTGCTCATGCAGTCTATCCTTGTGTCTTGTTGCTGTGCTCAGTCTTGCCATGGTGTATGACCTGTAACATGACACTGTCTTTCAGAACCTCACCTTAGTAGCAGAGTTTGGCTGTTCCTCATCCAGTTTTAAGCCCACTACACAGCTGTTTCTATTTCAGTTAATGAATGACTGTGTTTCAAAATTCATATTAAATTGATAATTAGCACACACAAACACACCAAAAAATATTTCTTAAAATAGATTAAAAGTCACAGTTTACAGTCAAAGTTTACATTTGTACAATCAATGTATTTCCATAAGTATATACTGTTATTTTATACCACTTCCTATGCACATATACAGTATAGGTCTTTGTTCATTCATGTTTCAACTATCGGAAGAAACCATTGTAATATAGAGTAGTCCGCAAATTGGAATTTCAAGCAGCAATGAAAATATATATCATAGACTTTGTGACTCTCAGTGCAAGCTTTAAAGCATCCCCCAGAGGGCTGCAGGGGGGGGGGGGGGGGAAGGGCATATTAGAAGATTTGAATATAATGAATCTTTAGGCATTTTAAGGAAAGGATTAGTTCAATCTGGAACACAGATACAGTAGCTACTGGTATATTCCTAGAAATTACAGTGTAATGCTGCTTGGGCATCCATGGGCATGTTTTTACATATTTGCAAATTCTTTCTCAAATGAACATATATGCACCCTTTAAAAGTCCCCTTTCTTTTGTGTGGCTTCTTGTCAGAATAAGCCACCTTTTTTTTTACATTCATCTAGGATGTGAAGCTATTAACAATATTGGGGCAATGCATCATTTATATTAAATTGTATGCAGAGGTTCAGCAATCCATTTGAGCTTATTAGTATCATGTGGTTTCCGACAAAGCTCTGTGACAATATGTTTTTATTCTCCCCGTAACAACCTAATCTACGTGTATTGGAGAATATCCCATAAAATATAATCCAGTTTGCTGGGTATTTCAAAATATTTTTGAGTGGTTACATATGTGTAAATCCACATATCAGTTCCATTGCTGTTTGTCCGCCCCCTCTCTCCAACACCCCTGAATGCAATTCCTTCTGTGTTGCCTTGAAAGGGCTGTGATACAAAAGGGCTCCTCTCCCCACAATAACAGCACGTTTTCCCCAATTCAGAGTGAAAGGGATAGGGCTGACTGACTATAGGACTTGACTGCAGTTATCATACCCTACCCAGCCGCAAATCTGTACAAAATCTGCTGATGGGGCCCCTTTACCTTAAGGGTGGTGTCCTCTAGGTATTTGTAATCCATATGGTAATCCACAGGGGATCCATCTTCACAAAGTGTCCCCACAGCTGATAAAGAGGAGGGTGTATAGGTCCACTTTACATAAAAACTCCCCCATAGGCAGTAGTGTCCCAAAACATGTTCAACACACAGAAGTGCACTCGCCATTCTGATGTCTGACAGATGTCGACACAGATGAAGTCTGTTCTCAGATAGTAGTCTCTGAAGATGAAAGCAGATTGAAAATAAGCTTTGGTGATCCCTGCAGAATGAGGCAGATGAGGCACATAGGCTGCCCTGTCCCTGTGGCCTTAGGCTGGCCATAGATGAGTCATCTGGAGGGATTGTGTGCAGCTTCTCATGAGATCAGTTTGCTTCGTCAAAATGAAAATAAAGTTTTGGCTGGGTTGTGCTTTAAAACCAGAAAGTGATAAATGAAATAACATGCTGTGTTCAATGTACAACTGGACTGTATAACGCACTATTAAAGAGCCTGCAGAGAAGGAAGAGATGTCTGCATGCTATCTGGGGTAACGAAAAGTCTATTTCTTTCATTTCTGCTACTTAAAGAGGAGTTCTGCGCCCCACCAAAAAAAAAATTAAAAGTCAGCAGCTACAAATACTGTAGCTGCTGACTTTTAATGTTAGGGCACTTACCTGTCCAGGCATCCAGTGATGTCCTCACCCAAATCAATTATTCATTCAGCTATTGGGTGCTTACACCACCATCTTGACTAAGGGAAACCAGCAGTGAAGACTTGTGGCTTCACAGCCAGTTTCCTACTGTGCATGTGCAAAGTGCTCTGCTCTTTGTAAATGGGCCGCAGTCTTCTGGGACCTTTGAAGTGTCCCAGAAGACTGCGGAGGGAAGGGTGGGGGGGGGGGGGGGGGCAAACTTCTGGTCAGTTCTCTGTGGCAAATTGAGCCAGAAGTAGAAGCGTGTATCTGTCAAAACCAGGTACATGCTCCCCTATTACCCAAAAAGGTGCCAAATGTGGTAGCGGAGGGAAGGAGGAAGCAGACAAGTGGAGCTTCCCCTTTTGGGTGGAGTGCCACTTTAATTTACCAATTAGTTCCACCAAGTTTCTAAATAACAGGAAAAAGTAGACACAACCTAAATTTGCTGTATTTTCATTTTCCTCTTCCCTGTGAAGTGATGCATTGTAAATATAGATCCATCAATAGTAACATAGTTATAAAGGGAAAATGTTTGGTGTAGATTAGGTCTAATATTAAAAGTTTGTACGCGTAAATAAGATATCGTGCTGCAACTCATGAATAAATGTTTATTACTTTTGTTGTCCTCAATTCCGTTCAAGCCAAGACATTTAATTTAGCGTTAATTATTTAT